TCAAGGTGCCCACTAGGCACTGAATGTATTTACTACACTTCTAGGAGAGTTAACTGAAGGGGGTAGATGGAACTGGACAGTCCTGTCAGGTAGTCCCCCATCTAGTGGCCAAGACAGGCATGCAAAATAAAGTATGTATAATGGGAGTCTGGTACGTTTCTTATCTCAGAATCATATTTTTCATGCATAAAAATAAATACATATTCCTTTAAAAAACTTAAACACTGAATTACCATATGATGTAGCAATTCCATTTCTGGGTATAGACCCCAAAGAACCGAGAAAGCAGAGATATTTGTACCTCAATGTTCATAGCAGCATTATTCACAATAGTCAAAAAATGGAAACAGCTCAAATGTCTGTTAATGGCTGAATGAATAAATAAAATGTGGTATATACATACAATGGAATATTATTTAGCCTTAAAAAGAAATGAAATTCTGACACATGTTACAACATGGATGAACCTTGAAGACATTATGCTAAGTGAAATAAGCCGAATACCGTATGATTCCATTCATATGAGGTATCTAGAGTAGTCAAAATTATAGAGACGGAAAGTAGAACAGTGGTTGCCAGGGGCTGGGAGCAGAGGGTAATGGGGAGTTACTGTTTAATGGGTACAGAGCTTCAGTTTGGGAAAATGAGTTTTGGAGAGGGATGGTGGTGATGGTCACAGAACAATGCGAATGTGCTTAATGCCACTGAACTGTATACTTAAAAATGGTTAAAATCGTAAATTTTATGTATGGTTATGTTACCACAATAAAAAATACATAAGATTACAAAGCAAAGCAATTACATTGAAATACAGGTATCAAGATCTTTTTTAGAAACCAAATGTGTGCCACAGTAATGTATGTGCTTTATTAATAAATAACAACCATATCTAATCGAAAATCTAATAAATACCTACTACAATGACAAAGTAGGGATGAGTGTAAATGATATTTCAAGATATCTTCAATTTTTAGTGCAAATAAAAGTGGAAACTTTTTCCCTTCCAAGTTTCCAGGCTCCTTGAATTTGTCTCCCTGAATTCTATATCCGCTGACTTCTAAGGAGTCCCCGGACCCCCAGTTAAGAATTCCTGAGGGATATGTATGAGGGGCAATGAGACCTTAAAGGACCATATGCTTATTTACAAGGCTCTTCATTGTAGCACTGAATGAGAGACTGAAAACAACCTAAACTTTCATTAATAGGAAAGTGGTTACGTATATTTTGGTAGACCATAAAGCAGAGCCATAAAAACAAATGAGGATGTTCTTTATGTACCCACATAGCACTCCTTTTGAAAAAAGCAAAAGGATGGGAGAAAGAATCTATAACATATTTCTTTGCATAAAATATCTCTGGAAGGATACATTAGAAAATGACAACCTTCCAGGCCGGCCCGTGGCTCACTCGGGAGAGTGCGGTGCTGATAACACCAAGGCCACGGGTTCAGATCCTATATAAGGATGGCCGGTTTGCTCACTGGCTGAGCGTGGTGCTGACAACACCAAGCCAAGGGTTGAGATCCCCTTACCGGTCATCTTTATTAAAAAAAAAAAAAAGAAAGAAAGAAAAAAGAAAATGACAACCTTCCAAGATCAAGGGTTCGGATCCCCTTAGCGGCCAGCTGCCAAAAAAGAAAAGAAAATGATAACTTTACTTGCTTCCTAGGAAGAGAAGGGTTGGGGTTCAAGAGCAGGAGAGAATTCCCACTGCATGTCTTTTTATATCCTTAAAACACTCAGCTATGTAAATACATGTAAACAGGACTGGCCAGTTACAGCGCAGCCTTGTAACACCAACGTCACAGGTTTGGATCCCCATACCGACCAGCCACACACACACACACACACACACACACACACACAAATATATATATGTAAACATATTACCTATTCATAAATAAAGTTTAAAATGTTCATAGTATGCTGGACCTGCTAGGATGCCTCAAACTTCCTGTGGTTACCTAACCAGTCCCTTTCTGAGGAAAGCCACCATGTGATGCCTTAGAGATAAATTGGCTAACCTTGGATCACGTGACCTGGTCATCCCTGATTAGCCCAATAGGGGACCTCGATGCTCAGATCTTTTCTATTAGAAGTTTGTATTTGAGACACAGACGTATTAGTGAGTAGAAGCTTAGTAAACTTTCAGTTGGTCTTTTCCTAAATATCCTCCCAGGGAAGGAGGAAAATATAAAAGTATCCCCAACCCACCCCTCTCTAGAATTGTAGATAAGGGAAACTTGGGGCCCCAAAAGGTGAAGCATGTTCACCCTCGACTGAGACACACACACACACACACACACACACACACACACACACCACACACCACACACACACACCACACACACACACACACCCCCACAGCCCGCCCAGCTGTAGAGCCAATATTGGCCCTGGGGAGCCAGGGCCGAGCACCTGGATTTCCATTTCCGGAGAGTGGTGAGAAGCAAGCCTGCTTCACCAGACCCAACAGGACAGGGCAGGGCTCAGGGAGGCTCCTTGGGACCATGCGTATGCAGGGGGTTACAGGGGGAGGGGGCAAACCCAGGCTTTGCTTAAAGGAAGAATGGGAGGGAGCAGGAGGGCCCCCACACTCAAGGGACTTATTTCCAGTGTGAAAGGTTTGTAGATTGAAAGGTGACTGATCAGTTTGTTGATTTAAAAACTGACAGACCTGTATAACACACTCATTTTACACACACTCCTTTAACTTTTACTAATACACACATTCATATGTTACCTTTTAATGCCAGTGTGTGGGGGAACTGATTCCTGTGTGTCTCAGGAGGGAGTTCCAGGGGAAACTAGCTATTTCAACATCATCTGGATCTCTCCTCAGAAAACAATGCTTTGCGGCCTTTTGGCTAAGATGCAGTGCAGAAAATAATAACTTCCTGCATTTACAGTGTTGTTACTCTGTGCCACTGTTCTAAGTGTAGGAGATAGTACTGTTATGGTATCCATCTCACAGATAGGAAACTGAGACACAGAGAGGTTCCATACCTTGTCCAAAGTCACACAGCTAGTACTTGGAGGAGCTGGGGTTGAATCTGGGCAATCTGGCTACAGAGCTCACATGGTTTTCTCTGGTCTCTTCAAGCCACCTGACTTCACTGTCAGGGTCATTCTGCCTGCCTAGTCTTCACATGCCATTTGGCCAATCTCCCTGGAGACTAACTGGTCCTATGGGCTTTCCCTCTTCTCCCTCTACCTGTTTGCTTGCGGGAATTTATGATTATACCTCAAAGTTCTGGCCTTGGCC